AGTTCAAAGTACTTGATTAGGTATTAGAAACCCCAGTCAACCTAAATTTCTAAATATAATATTGATACAAATACGAGTAATAAAATTACAGGAGACCGTTTCTTTTAAAACTTGGGGAAATAAATTATGATTAAATAGAACAATTTTAAATGTCTATGATTATATTTAAATTCAGCATATATAAAATATGTAAAACAAATCAATCACATGCCTGTCTATATAGTAAAGCATTAATTCAACTCAGAAGATTTTTATGGATTTCAAAGAATGTATTGCACATGAATTATTTATATATCTTAAAAATAGAAGAAACTATCAAATCTAGTTTTTAGAATTGACAACAATAGACTAACAGGAAATGTAAAAATCATTTAACAGCCACGTGATTGATTAAAGTATTACTAACACAAGAGACTGATCATGTCAAGATTGATTATGCCATACTATTTTTTAATCAATCTTCAAATTCTGAAGCCAAAAGGCTTCTAATCCTCTACAAATTTATAAAATGCAATGAAAAGATGATTTAGCACCAGAATTCTAGGGATCAGAAGTTCTCATAACTATGACAGTAAATAATTCTCTTCTACTAATATCAATGCAATCTCTTCAATTGTTGCATTTCAGATTGCAATATTTGAGGTACAAGTGTGGAAGCACGTTCGGTGAATTATAATGAAAAATCAAGACTAAAAATTGAGACTGTTAGATTTAATTACATAAGAAGTCAGTTTTCTAATAACAAGGATGAGTGGTCTCCCATGAAGCACAGAAGGTCAGTATAACATTGATAACTTGAATTTTTTCTACCTACACATAACATAAATCTATTGAGGATGAACAGAAATTGTTTCCATTCAAACTCTGGTTCCATGCTACTTACTGCTCTAAGCTTGCCTTGGCTTTTCGCATGCCAGCCTTCCCTGATCCCTGAACTTGCTCTTCTGTCTTCACACAAAGCCTTAGCACAGCACTTCCCTCTGTTTGAGTCATCCCCTTGCCACCTCTAACCCTTTCCTAGCTCTTCCTCAAGGAAACTTTCTGATTTTACCACTAGGTCAGGTTCCCCTCTCACATACTCTCAGAGCACTTTTCTTTCTTGGCACTACTCAACGTTTTTGCTGAATAGTCAATGGAGGAAATGACGTTTAACAGTTGTAAACTGTTAACTCGAAAAAGGACTGAATTATGTCTAATTCCTACACTGTTATGTCCCAGAGATGTAGCACAGTGTGGAATACAGGGTTAACTGCATGAATGGAGGAGTGAATGAGGGAAAGAAGAAAATGAGCCAAGGACTGAAGTGGCTTTGAGGTTACCTGGACTTAATAACTTTAAGATTGAGAAGTTTAGCCGAGACTGGTTTGGCTCAATGGATAGAGCGTCGGCTTGGGGACTGAAGATTGAGAAGTTTGAAGATTTAATTGTCGCACCCAGATGTTATATTTTGTTGAAAAAACATACTACATATATGGCCATAGATATGCACATCATATGATGAATGCTGAACTACTAATTTTATGGTCTGAACACTGTTACAAGAAAACTACATTTTCTTACTTTTTATTTTGTCCTGGTTTCTTAACTCAAAGTCCTGGTTTTCCATCTATACTTTGCTAAACTATATTTCTGCATCTTCTTTTAGTTTAAATATTTGCTTATTCTTTCATTGAGCAAATATATAATGAACACCTAGTATGTGTTATCCAAATAAATATAGTATTTTAAAGATTGCTGTGAGTGTACTGGTCAAGTAGTAAGAATTATTATTTATAATCCCTGAAAGGAGACATTCTATTCTTAGAAATTTTATACTTGCATGAGAATAATATGTTCCATTTATCTTTAAAGAAAGAGAAAGAGAGAGGGAAAAGAAGAGGGAAAAGGAAAGGGAGAGGGAGAGGGAGAAGGAGAGGGAGAGGGAGAGGGAGAGGGAGAGGGAGAGGGAGAGGGAGAGGGAGAGGGAGAGGGAGAGGGAGAGGGAGAGGGAGAGGGAGAGGGAGAGAGAGAGGGAGAGGGAGAGGGAGAGGGAGAGGGAGAGGGAGAGGGAGAGGGAGAGGGAGAGGGAGAGGGAGAGGGAGAGAGAGAGGGAGATATCAATCCAAGAGAGAAACATGGATCTGTTGCCTCCTGCATGCATCCCTACTGGGAATCAAACCTTCAGAGGGCAACACTACAACTAACTGAGCCACTTGGGGCCAGAGCTATTCTTATAATTCTTATTCTAAATCAATATTCAACCAGGGTCAAATGATGTGACCTTGTATAAGTCAGTAAACTTCTCAGAGGAGAAGTTCCATATATATAAAGATTTGGGTAATAAGGGCAGACTTTGAGATCACTTGGGGCTCTAAAACAATGTAATTCCCATCTATTAGATAGACCCTATGCTGAATGATTTCCAATTCAGAGACTGACAATGTAAGTATAGAGCAAAAGTAGAGCTCAGTAAATGTTCTCCAATTGCATTCACTAAAAGACGTTCTGCTTACCAGCAAGAGAGAAGGGACATTCATAAAACATGATGAAGTTGTAGAAACTTTTAAGATGCTGTTCCTTCTTTCTTTATGAAAAAGGTTAGCTGTAATCAGACATATTGGAATATGCTGCCTAGAAAAAGAACATAGGAAGCCAAGACCAACAGAAAGTAATTGAAGGATACGTTCAAGTGCAAGATGAATTCAAACATTAGGAAGAAACTGTCACGTGTTACCCTAAAGAGTGCTTGAAGGCTGAAAACAGTCCATCTATTTTTTAAACAAGGGGGCAGGGTTGAATTAAAAATGTTCTTGAACAGAGGCATCTTACATGTTTTTATGATAGGGTCTCAGTGCCTATTTTCATCAGTATTTTCCATGAGGTTTCTACGCACATATAGCATAGGAACCAAACTGGACTGTTCAATTATTCTTCAATCACACCTCATGATTCCTTCCTCTGTTCCTTCTCATACTACCTCTCATCCACCCCTGCTGAAACCTATCCACTCAGTTTCCTCTTAAAGCCCTTCATGATGTCCTCCACCCTGAGCTCTGAACCATCCTAGAACTTCATACCTTCCCACCTGCTATCATGGTTGTTGATTTATTTGTCATATGCCTTCCTTCCCATCCCACCCTCGCCTGGTTTTGTAAAGTCTGACCCTAAGCTCTGTGTACTTTCATGTATAGCAGGTAATAGCATAGAACCGTTTCCATACCATGTGCTCAGCTGATATTTCTGTATTTATAAAGTTGAGTGAATGTTATGAGAGACGCTGGGGCATCACAATTGCTGATCTGCTCAGTGGCCAAAACCTAGCTCAAGCGTCCTTGAGAAGTTTTCCAAAGACCTGTTATGATGCCTTGTTCTTATTTTTATTCTCCTTCAAATCCCTCAGGGTACACACAGGAAGAAGGGAAAATCCCTTTGAACAGTACTAACTGAGAAAAAGGAGTTACTCTGGGCACTGTCAGAATCTGGGTTTCATGTGAAAGATGAATAGTCTGGACTAAGTGTCTTTATTTTTCTAGCACTAAAGTGTAATGATTTAAAAAAAACACACACACACATAAAAAAAAAAACAAAAAAAAAACACCATGTTATAACCTGGAAGAAAGATGGTGCTATTCAGCTACACCAAACAGTGCCAAAACTGGCCAGCAGAAAGCACAGAGGATGGTCTCCAGCCAGAGCACAGGATTCTCCTCTCCACCTTTTCTGAACACAAGTGGTCCTCCGCCAGCTGAGCCACATGGCCACGCTGTGTCACCAGGTCACTGTCTCTGCTACCGGATTCAGACATGTGTCCCACCTGGCAGGCATCCTATGCAGCTGCTGCAACTTGAACTCCTTAAGGAATTCAAATTCTTCAGACGGAGAGGGTTAGCTTTCTGTTGGAAGTTTATGGAATGTCAGTTCAAAGGTAGCATTTGAATATTCGAGTGTTCTAATCAAGATACATAAATATTTTATTACTCCACTACTGTTCTTTCAGTCTACTTAAAGACATGAAATCACACAGATTTAATCAAGTTCATAGTTTGAAAGGAGAGAAATTAGCATTCAGAGTGCTTTGCATAAGAGTCCCAGCGCTACAAGGTCAGTGTTCAGATGGAAGTGGGTGACAAGTGCATTGTGTTTTAGTCCTTAGCTCAGCTAATTGGAAGGTAAATTATTCTACATGCTAGTTGGAAGGTAAATTAAAAACAAAAACAAAAGAAAAGTTAGTTTCTTCCTACTCTGCTCTCTGTTTATTTGTATTCTGTAAATATTTGAAGTAATTTTACATCTGTATCTAAATATTAAAATACAATTTGTTTTAACATAGGATATAGTTTTTTGAGCCATGCATATAAAATAGTACTACGGTATTAAGAAGACTTTATAACACAGTGATGAATGCCTTAAAGGGAAATAAAATTATAAAACACTAGACCATTTTTTAAAATTGTGCATAGAACCAGTGATTGTGCATTTAAGGCAATTAAAAGATTTATTGAAAGTTGGGTTAAAAGTAGATTGACAATGGTATTAAAGAATAAAGTGTCATTTATTTGGCGCTACTTTGTGAATGTTTCCCATCTACAAAATCATCTCATGATATAGTATATATACACAATATACTTCCAATTACAACTCAAATGTAATATAACCTATAAAAATCACATGGCTATCATCCACATACAGTGATCCTACTTTGAAAAGAATGAAAATTAGCCATCCGTTAGGGTGCGAGAACGTTTTCTTTTCTCCCCAAAAGAAAATATTAGCACCATACCAGGTAACATGATCTAAAACTATTGGCCTCTTAAATACCTAAATATAAACCTTTTTATTTGTTTGTTTCCCAAAGCACAAATATTAATTTGCAAAAAAAAAAAAAAATCAGTTCTACAGTAGTTAATAGTTCTCTCCTTTGTCTGCATGTCTTTCAGAGTCAGGAAAAAAAAAAAAACACATAGGAAGTAAAAACTTTCGTAGGGTATGAAAATAAAAAATCGAAGCCAACCCAGCGCCCTTCAGCAGTGAGTGCCCACCGAGGCGAAGGTGGACATCTCGCGGCGGATGGTGCTGAACGGGGACAGCTCCAGCTCCGTGGTGTACTCGTTGTCGTTGTCGTTGTCACTGGCGGCCGCCGAGGAGGACTTGTGCGTGCACTCTTCGCAGCAGCAGCAGCAGCAGTCCAGAAAGGCGCGGCTGAAGGGCTTGCACAGGCAGAAGAGGACCACGGGGGTGACGCAGGACTTGAAGAACAGCAGGAACTGGCTGATGATGTGCAGCAGGTCCATGGTCTGCGGGGACACGCCGGCGGCCATGTAGGCGGCCACGATGTTGTAGATGTTCTCGGGGACGATGCAGAAGCCGTAGAGGATGGCCAGCGCCACCACCGTGCAGTTCATCTGGCTCTCCAGCTGGATCTGCCGCCGGTGCCCGCGCGCGCAGGCCTTCTCGGCCTGGCGGATCTTGCGCGCAGTCACCAGGGAGCAGGCGATGGTGAAGAGCGTGGGCAGGCAGAAGTAGCAGCCGAAGTACCACCAGAGCCGCGCGCCGTCGTAGGTGAGCGCCAGCACGTAGATGGTGTCTGGCAGGTCCGGGGAGATCCGGATGGCGCAGCGCTCGGCGGGAGCCTGGCCCCCGGAGCCCGGGTCCTCCCTGCTCAGCTGGCGGAGGACCACTTCGGGCAGCGCCAGCAGGAGGGCGCCCACCCAGATGACCGCCAGCTTAGCGGTGGTGGAGGAACAGTTCTCGATCATCTCGTAGTACATCTGCACGTTGGTGGCGGCCCTGAAGCGGTCTATGCACAGAGCGCATAAGGTGAAGGTCGTGACGCCCAGCGAGGCCACCTGTGGGAGGAGCACAGAATAAGGGTGATATCACTGTCAGAAGGAAAGTTGAAAATGAGAGTGGGGGAAGAGGGGAGGATGTAGTGGTTCAGGGCCATAGAATAAAAAATAAAATAAAAAAAAATTAGAGCTGGAAGGATCTGTAAAGGTCATTTAGTCCAACATCATTTTATATTTTATAATAAAAGGCTAATAGGCAAACAGACCAAACGGGGGAACAACCAAACAACCGGTGGCTATGACTAGCGCTGACCACCTGGGGGATATGATGGGCGTTGGCAGCAGGTGGTAGAGTGTGGAACATGATGGGTGGCAGCTACGGTGGGATGGTGGAACAGGTGAGCGGGAGCACCAGACCAAGGTGGGACACCAGTTACTGTCATCCTGTTGAGCCTCTGATGGTTACTGAAAATTCTTTGCTCCTGCACACCATGGCCCTGCCCTGCGCTCACATCTGCTGTGGGTGCTAGCCTCGCTTGCACCCAGCACTGGCCTTGATCGCCTGGCACTGTCAGCAGTCGTGAGTGGTGGCTGCTGGCTCCATTGGCCCTGAGGGCTTCTCCACCTACCCCTGCTCCTAAGGGGCAATCAGGGCAGCAGCCACCGCTGGATCTGTGCCTTCAGCAGGTGCCAGGAGGATTGGAGCTATCAGCAAGTGGGAGCAGCAGAGTGGAAGTAGGGCTGCTGGCAGGAGGGGCTGAGACCCGCCCCTGTGCCCACTGCAGCTTTAAGACCCACAGTTCCTTTCAAGGTGCACAAATTCATGCACTGGGGCCCTAATTATAGATAAGAACACAGGATCCCAAGAATTTCAGTCATCATGAAAACGCCTGCCACCAGTGGGGCTAGATAAGGAGTAAGGATCACTGAGTGTATCCCACTGTCATTAGTGAAAAGGATGGCCATGTTGTCCAGTGTGAGGGTCATTAGCATGCCTTACACACAGGTGTTCAAGAGCTATTGTTTCCAACAAGCTAGATATGAGTAAAGATCTCTTCCAATTTCTCCAAAATATAAATGAAAATATTTTAATACTATTGTTTGCATATATCTATGGGAAACAGAAAAGAGAAATTCATCAGAGGTCATAATCAAAGAGAAAACAAAAACTTCAAACAGGTCAGTAAACTCCCTTCCACACCTCTCCACCCACAGGCTTCAACCCCTACCCCCACCCCATGCTGCACATTTGCCCTAATGGCATCTGCTAATCTTGGCGAGATTTCCAGGTCATTTACGCTAGAAGGATGGGTCCAGGTGCCTAAGTACATAGGTAGCAAACAAAACTGTGGCCACTGGGAGTGGGAATTAGGTAAAAGATTCCTTGTGAATTTGGAAAGCCCTGAATAGTGACATTTTCATGGTTATAAAAAGAAAATAAACAATCAAGCCAGATAATGGGGGAACCTGTCTGGATTTTAGGATTCGGTACTAGGTGAATGGGGGAGTTAAAGGGGAAGGAAAAATGCCAACCAAAAGCCTGAATTCACACTGGACTAGAGCCAGAAATCACACCAGCTCAGAGAAATCCACAATGCAATTTAAAATCGTCCCAGGCGCTGGAAAAGTGAACATGAAGTCGATTTTAAAACCAGGCCTCAAAGAAATCACTCAGATAAAATCCAGGGAATGTGAATTCACAATTAAAAATCCCAATATGGCCCTGGCTGGCCTGGCTCAGTTGGTTGAACTAGCCCTGCACGGAAAGGTCAATGGTTCAGTTCCGGTCAGGGCACACACCTAGGTTATGGTTTGGTCCCTAGTTAGGGTGTGTATGGGAGGCAACTGATAGATGTTTTCTCTCTCTCTCTCCCTCTCTCCCTTTCTCCCTTTCTCCCTCTCCCTTCTCTCTCCAAAATAAAAAAATACATATTTAAAAATAAATAAATAAACAAATAATAAAAATCACAATATGCACCAATCCACTACTCTGAGCTCATGTGCCAGAGGAAAAAAAGTTATAGAATCAGACAGAAGTGCAATTATCATGAAATAAATATGCTCATCAAATTTAAAGAAATATGAGATAATGAGGAGACATCAAAGAAAATAGGAGATATAAAAAAAAAAAAAAAAAACATGAAAAAAAAGCATATAGAAACCAGATAGAATGTCTAAATACTCAGCCACAGGAAAACTTCAGATCTGAAAATGCTGATGCTGACTGCATAGAGCACTGTATTAAAAGAGGAACTGCTCTGAAACCCATAAAGTCTAGACATCTCAATAAGTCAAGTTGAAAGTTAAGAACTAAAAACATGTACATATTTTTTTCATACAGAGGCTTTTACAAGAATAAAAATACATGTTCCTAGTGCAACATACTATCATTCAACATTCTATATAAAATATTTATTGAGCATCATACATATCATATATAATAAAGAAGTAATATGCAAATTGACCATCACTTCAACACACAAGATGCCCATCCCCATGTGGACACAAGATGGCTACCCCCATGTGGACACAAGATAACCACCACAAGATGGCCTACAGAAGAGGACAGTTGAGGGCAACCAGGCTGGCAGAGGAGGGCAGTTAGGGATGACCAGGCTGGCAAAGGAGGGCAGTTAGGGGTGACCAGGCCAGCAGGGGAAAAGTTAAACATCAATCAGGCTGGCAGGGAAGTGATTAGGCAGGCAGGTGGGTCAGCAGTTGGGAGCCAGCAGTCCTAGATTGTGAGAGAGATGTCTGACTGCCCATTTAGGCCCAATCCCAGGGACAGGCAGTTGGAAATCCCTCAAGGGGTCCCAGATTGGAGAGGGTGCAGGCTGGGCTGAGGGACACCCCTCCCCCCTCATGCATGAATTTCATGCATCGTGCCTCTAGTACTCTAATAAGGGACATAGGCACACATTAAGCACAAACACACATTTATTAATAGTGACTCTGTGCCCAGCACTCTGCCAGATATTGGGGATACACAAAGGAATAATAAGCAGTTTTCTCACTCAAGGAGGCCATAGTCAACCAAGAAGGAGGAAGCTGGTTCTCACAGTGACTATCTGGCAGCATCAAATTTTCTCAACCATTTTGGGGGAAATGGAAGTGATTTTATGTTTAATAAATGTGGTCATTAATCCTGGAGAGTATCATGCTAAGTGAAATAAGTCAGTCAGAGAGAGAGACAAGATCTCACTCATATGTGGAATCAAAGTAACAAAATAAACTGACATAGAAGCATGGAACAGAGTGTGGACTCTTGGAGGGAAGGAGAGAGAGGGTGGGTGGGTGGGAAGTAATCAATCAAGAACCTTGTCTGCATGTATGCATGACCACGGCTACAGACACCGGGATGGTGAGGGCCTAGGACGGGGGATAGGGGCAGGCTGGAGGGGGCCAATGGGGGACATTTGCAATACTTTAAACAATAAAGGATTATTTTTTTTAAATGTGGTCATTGTTTATATATTTAATCAAGATCAATAAATAGAAGGTAAAATAGTCATAAGGATTAGGAGAAAAGGAGACTAAAAGAAAACTCCCTACATAGATGGCATGCTTTGGGTCATACCCAAGGCACCTGGGCATAGGCATTCCCTTTGCCCTCCGCTCGTGGCGATGTGTAAGAAGCACAGCTATAGGTCATGCCTCGGCAGGAACTACATATATATGATGTAGATAACTAATTTTTTAGAACTCAAAGAGATCATGTTGACAAAAGGAAAGCCATTTGTTACAGCAATTTTAGCTCTCAAACCAGGAGTTGTTTCTGTACTGCATTCAAGCTGTCACTCTCCCCAGAAAATGGCAACATGCCTTGCGGATTTTTTTTTTTTTGAGAGAAAATAAGTTTATTTTCAAAACAATAGAGTCAAAAGGGTTTTTCTTAAACAAAATACCAATGAAAACCTCCACCAGATAATTGCTTGCCTGTAGTGTCATCTACGGGCAAGGTCTTAATAGTAGTAACTGTTACACAAAAGTTCAGTTTTAATACTTTTTTTTTTTTTTTGTAACTTCTGTAAAGTTTAGAAAAATGCCACCTCTCTTCTCAGTGTGATCTTCTGTTGGGCTTCATTTTGATGAAAGCCAGCAGCATCTAATAAATGATTATACCTAGCATCTTTGTAGCAAAAGCATTTTTTTTCTTCTGTAAAGTTCTAGATCTCCCCCAGAATTCTTCACTGTTACACATCTTTGGGGATTACTTGCAGTTTTTTCATAGCTGCCCAATGTCGTTCCAATTAAGAAAAGAGAAGATCTGCAGGATTATGTTGGCAGGCGTGCGAACTAACTAATCAAATTTTCCCTGACACAGACTCAAAGAATAATTCCGTTCTTTCCCAAACACGTTCTGCATCTGCCCGCGCAGTCACAGGCTCAGCAGAAAATCTTTGAGGTGTTTCCTCAATCTCTCTGGTTCCAGACAGAGCAAACCCATACATGACTTCCAGATGACCTCAGTTTTGGTGACGACCGGGTGGTGGAAGTTCTTGCTAGGTGAGCCTCGCTTTCAAATCTCATACACAACGTGGGGCATGGTCTCCTCCTGAAGCTCCAGCATCCAGCAAGATTCTGAGAGTTCCAACATCAAGTTGTCTCTCCTCTTCTTACACTATACACATTAGTCAGTGTCTACTACTTCTAATATGGAAAATAAGGACAGTGTACCTGACTATTCTCCTGTTGGTGAAGACAGTCTGAAAATGAGATGTAATGAGAGGTTCAACTATGTGAAAAGCAAAAAATGAAGAAATAATATGACTAACAACGGTCTAAGTCAATGCAGATCAAGGGGTCCAAGGAGTTTATAACCACAATTCCTATTTAACAAAATCTTCAGAAAGTATTCCATGAACAATATAAGAAACATCAATCTAATGTAACTAATAAAGTCATCTTTATATTCATGTTTTAAAAATCAACCCTCAAATTAATAAGTTCACCTTAATGGAAATTTATTTTGAGCTTTTAGTACCAAAAGCTCAAAATAATTTTTAAAATTGAAGTCTAGCCCTACCCAGTTTAGATCAGTAGATAAGAGTATCGAAGGC